TTTAATGAAAATTATGTTTCTCAGAGTCTTTTTCTACATTGATATATTTTTATCATTAGAAGGTTTTTTAAAAAAGCGATGGAAAAAAGTGACCGTTTGTTTAGTTGATTTAAGTCACAATTTTTTTTTATTTGACTCGTCTCGTAGCGAGTGGTTATTTTCGATACAAAACCATACTCAAAAATGTTCTTTCGCTAAATTAACATTAACTTTAAAGTAACATTATTATCTACTTTTTATTTTTAACGAGTTTGGATTCTTATTAATCCGGATGGGTCTACACAATATTCAAATATGTATAAATTAAATGATTCACAAAATATTCAAGTTGGCCGCAATTTGGAAAAATTGAGTCCTAATATTTTACTTGTAAATTTTTTAAACAATCAAAAGAAAAAAAAATTGCATTATGTAATATTTTTTTGCACACTGTAAATTTTTTCTTTTGCACACTATTTGCATACTAAAATTGACTATCTGACGATAATTGCATGCGAAATTAATTTTCAATAATTTTCCATTTAGTGATAGTCGAAATAAGTTTTTATTTAATAATAATCATTTTTTAAAAATTGCTTCATTTAGGCATCTTTTTAAAGAATGTTATTAAAAAGTATAAAAAAAAAAAAAAAAAAANAAAAAAAAAAAAAAAAAAAAAAAAAAAAAAAAAAAAATGGAGCTCAATTGGGAGAATATTTTTTGAGTCATCAAGTTTTTAAAAAAAATCGCATATTTAAAGTTGTATTTCTGAAGAACCATATTCAACCAATTTCTAAATTTTGTCTCGCCGGAAATTAAGGTTTACATTTAAAAATATTATTCAGATTAAAAAATAATTTTGATTTTTAAAAACATTTCCTAAATGACTAAATAATGTAGAATATTAATAGTATACAAAGTTATAGATAATATGCCATTAAAAAAATAGGAAATTGAAAATAATATTTTAAGTAAAAAATTGTGTTGGAATAAAAATATTATTGAAATTCATTTAATATTTAAATTGAAGTAATATTTAATGTAATTGAAAAATAATATTCCAACTAAAAAGTAATGTATAAATTATAAAATAATACATAAATTAAAAAATATTATATAAAATAAATATTAAACTATTAATTTAAAAAATAATTATAAATTTAAAATTATTTTAATTTAAAGAGCATTTCAAAGTAAAACAAAAATATATAACTTAAAAAGTTCGTTAAGTTAAAATATTGGTTAACCTATTGTACTTCAATAAAAATAAAATATTATTGAAATCGAAACATGCTTTATTAAGTCATTTTAAAGTAGATTTTTATTCGTTTAAATTTATATGCATATATAGTATATAACTAAATAAACCATCATGTAAAAATATAAGACTTAGTAATTTGAACTTTGTGATTGGAAGTTAGGCAACTATTATAAGAAATTTAGTTATGATGAATGATTTATGACGAATCATGACGACTGATTTCGGATGCTTCCAATTATGCAATTTAATTACGAATTAATTAATTTATTTTAGAATTTAGAATTTTTCTTACCTTTTTAATAGTGGAGAAGCAAATGAATATTTTAAGAAACTAAATGAGTGAAAAGTTTATTCTCGATTTTTCTCGAGTATATTTATGCAGTTCTCTTAATTTAGCATGGATGTAAAATATAGCTGGGGGAATAATTTCACTTTTGTATTGTGATCTTAATTTGCTTGATATAAATTTATCTCGAATAAAAAAAATCTTAATTTTATCTTCAATCGTGGAATTAGAATTTTTTCAAATTAACAATTTATTCTGATTTCTACTTTTAGGGTAAAAAAAAAAAAAAAAAAAAAAAAAAAAAAAAAAAAAANAAAAAAAAAAAAAAAAAAAAAAAAAAAAAACGAACTGAAGTTATAATTAATTCTAAGAACTATTGTAGGTTTAAATTTAAGGAAATTTAGTTTCTTTACATTTACTTTTTTTAGCTATTCTACTACTGATTCTACCACAGAGAAAGATAATTTTGTTCTGTTTTTTCATATCTTTTAAATACTTTGATTTTCTAAATATAAATCAGCGATTGAATGGAAAAGAACCGCCTGTAAAACAGGCTTTCAAAATTTTATTCAAGAAATAATTTTAAGATAGAGAGCTTTTATAACTTTTCAATTTGAATTAATTCTGCGAAAATGGGTCAGCAAAAATTGAATTTATAAAAACTGGAAAATGATTAAAATAATCTGCAAAAACTTAGACTTTTCTGTTTTTTTCCGCTATAAAAAAACAAAAAAAAAAGCAATATTTATTTCTTATTATTTCACTGAAAGCAAAGTGAGAAAGATGCCATCGTACAGCTTAAATTCAAATTTATAAAACAGATATTTTTATGAAAGATGACGCCACTACATCGATTCATTTTAAACACATTTCAGTGAAGCTTAAGTGCTTTAAAGTAGTGCTGCCATCTAGAGTATATGCACTCAAATATCTGTTCCGATATTGAAAAATATTACAAGTGTTAAGCGAATGCTCTTCAACGAAAAAATTTAATGTATTCGAAACAAATTTTTCCTGAACTAACGCTATAATTTAATAATGTGTAAATAAATACACCCATTTTATATTTAAAATACCAAAAGGATGAATTGATGAATATTCATTGATAAACACTTAAGATTTTAAAAAATGAGTTAATTACGACCTGATTAATTAAGTTTTTAATTGGCGAATTTAAACCGTTAAAAGCTTCAGTTATTTTAAATTTCTTTTACTGTCAGGGAGTTAAATAACTCTTGAAAAAACTAGAGCTTTAGTTTCGAAAGTTAAAGTTTTTGCATATCGTGAGAGTAAAGCAAACAGTGAATTTTGAAAACTTGATGCTGCCATCTATAGTATAAAAAGAAAGTCTTTTACATACTTGTGAAGTAGCCTGATCAGAGTTGAAATTTAAAAATCTTTTCAACTCTTTAATATTTCTTTTTTTTGCTTGCATAAAAGTGATGTACGTTGTCTTTATTATTGATGACAATGAGGCATTATGCTGACTGGTTATCGGGCCGTATGATTCGGCTGTATAATTTCGGTACGTTTAAGGTCGTCAAAATAATATAAACACTTCTATACTGAAACATTTATTTATATTTCTCAAGAAATACTAAAAAAATCTTTTTATATCTTCAGAAAATACTAAAAGAATCTTTTTATAACTTCAGAAAATATTAAAAGAATCTTTTTATAACTTTTTATAACATCATGCAATATCTCATACTTAAAAATAAAGTTTAAAGGTTGTAGAGGTTTGAGAAAGTTAAAGTTTAAAGCTCTTAGAGAGGACACCAATAAATTACTAGCGGAAAATAATGTTTTTGAACACCCTATGCCAAAAAAATGTATCAATAAAATTGAAATTCACATTTGTTATTATATGCAATGATTACACAAAATTTCGTAAGCCGAGCTTAAATATTTATGAAGATGTTAACCTTTTTTATAAAAAAACTGATTTTTTTGCTGTAACTTTGAAAATATTCAACAAAATTAAAAAAATTTTTTCGAAGACACCAAAAATAGATACAATATTTTTTATAAATTAAAATTAAAAAAAAAAAAAAAATAAAAAAATAAAAANCAAGAAAAAAAAAAGAAAAAAAAAAAAAAAAAAAAAAACAAATCGTTTAAAACCGTGCACAATTTAAGTACATAAAATAATTATTTTATACTGCGCATGTGCGGATATTTTTTTTAATTATTTATTTTTATTTATTTATTTTTTATTTACAATTTTGTAGTGAATTGTATTTGGCGAAATGAAAAAAGCCAGATTTGAATATCTTAAGAATTTAAAAAGTTTCAAGCAATTTTCAAAGTAGTTTTTGTACTGTTGTACAAAAACTACTGTAGTTTAAACTGTAGTTTTTGTACAGTTGAAAGCTCAAAATGACCTTCTACAAATATTATTTTGTATCATGAGACAGAATTAAATAACAAATGATAATACGTGAATGATAATATCTATATGTGATTTAATAAGGAAAGAAAACAGGCGAAAGAAAAGGATACTTGCATGGGCGAGGATCCCCTACAATGCCGGTTTATTTTTCATAAATCTTGTTTAATAGTACAAAGGAATGTGTATAAAACCCCTTATCATTTTGAGCTTTATTTTAAAAAGTACGAAAAATATTGCGAAAATTGTTAGAAACTTTTAAAAATTTTTAAGATATTCAATTCGAACTTTTTTTATTAGTATGTCAAATAGAATTAAGACAGTTATTATTTTTTTAAAAAATTTTTTTGCTCACATGTGTCGTAAAAATAAACTACTTTAATTACTCATATCTTGTGAAGTTTTAAACGGAATTTCTTAAAATCTCAGAGCAATAATTTTGCAATTAATTTTAAATTGCCCCCAAAATTTTGTATAATAATTTAATTGCATATTTTTAAAGTTATCACGAAAAAACGAAAGACGACAAAATTTTTGGTTTGTTTTATAAAATGTCCAGATCTCTATTAAAATTTAAGCTAGGGTCACGAAAATTAATTAATTTTGGTTATTATGTGAGATTATTGCATATAATAACCAAATAATTGTTACAAGTTATAATTTTTTGTTACATTTTTTGGCATAGCGTGTTCAAAAACACTATTTTGTGTTTGTAATTTATTGTCAGTCTCTCAGACCTCTAAAAGTTTTAAGCTTCATTGCTAAGTATGAGAAATATCATAACCTAAACACTTATAAAAGGATTCTTTATGTATTTTTTTAGAAAGTTAAAAAAATGCTTTAGCATAGAAATTTTTCCGGTATTTAGGCTAACTCCTGTTTATATCCTGTTTATATTATACTCCTGTTATATTCCTTTCATATAATCTTAAATTATCCTATAAGATGTTATAAGTATTTTGACTATTAAAAAAAATAAGGAAATGTCTAACATACATAAAAACTGTCGTCACGATTTCAATAGCTAGTTACGATTATCCACCTGCGCATTGTTTGTGTAGATTTATAAAAATCTTTCACAATTTTGGATGCATTTTTATTTCTTGCGGGGGAGTAGGAAATTAACGTTGAAAGAGTGCTCAGTATTATATAAAATTCAATTTAACATGTATATTCTAAATTCGATTTGTGAAATTTATTCTGTTACAAATGTACTGCTATTAATAGCAATGAGTGCCATTTTATGCTTTCTAGCAAGTTTTTATAAAATTAGAAGGGGTAAAAAACTGCCCCCGGGGCCACCCATGATTCCGATATTTGGAAGTCTACCCTTTTTAGGTTCAGAACCTCATAAAACTCTGAGCAAAATGAGGAAAAAGTACGGTGACATCATAGGGTAAGTTTATATTTAATTCCTTTAACTAAATTTAAGACTTTATTTTATGACATAATTCTAGGTCACCATTTTCATGGATTTTATGCAAGGAGTGGAGTAGCTTAGTTATCTATAAAAATGTAAAAAAATATATTATTTTTAATAAGAGTTAATATCTTATATTTACGAAATTTGTTTTTACTGTGATCGCATTAATTTTAGATAATTAATTTTAATTCTTAGGAATTAATTTTAATTATTTCACTTTGACAATCATTTTTGTTTGTCTTTCTTTCCAATTACAATTTTATTTTTGCTTCAAGTTTAATAAACTGCATTTGCTCATATTATTAGGATTAACCCACCCGACAGTTTGTACGGTGGTCAGGGAGCTGATATCATGTCAGAAAAGTTCCGGGTTCGCATACAGCTTTGGGCACGGATGTAAATTTTCTCTTTCTGTTCTGTCTTGCTTAGGTTGTTCGGGTGACGTTGATCCACCTATATGGTGACCATAAAAAAGAGAGATCAACAATTTCACCCGTTGAGTACCACGATGGCATATGGTGGCCAAATGTGGTGGGCATTGGAAATTAATAAAAAATAACACCAAACATGTAATTTGTACAATGCATCGAATTAGAGATAGCACAAGTGCCATTGAATTAGAGATAACAAATTAGTAACGAGTTAGGTCTACAGCTTCGGAGACCCATATTGACAATTCGATCTAATTTTGGACTTCACTGGCTACGTGCCACGACATAGAATTATCAATGGAACACATTTTCACATTTCCATTATCTATGGAACACCGAGACACATTTTCGAGTACCCAGCATTCACACCACATGGTCTGAAATTTGGAATGGTGTCAATTGAGGACAATCTAAGATCTGGTCTCTATATTCAAGAGGAACCGAAGCTGGCTGCCGCAATCTGTACTGACTTTTGATATTCTTTGAAAATCCATGGACACGCAAGCAACAACAACAACTGTCTACGTGCTATATGGCAGGCTATGTAGTATCGTACTCATTACGTGCATCACGATTACTCAATGTCACGTGTCATTTTTTTGTCAGGTCACTTGGTTTTCTTCCATAATTCATGGATTCTCGGTATATTGTAGAGTGGAAAATCCTAGTTATCTGAATATATTGCAAATTGAATGACCCAAGTGTTGAGAGCCCAGAATCTCTCCACGATTAAAGGAGACTAATTCACAAGTAAATGGCACTTCTGTATAAACAAAAATCTATGGACACGCAAGCATCAGCAACTGGCTACGTGCTATTTGGCAGGCTATATGGAATCGTACGTACTCTCATTGCGTTCACCACGATCTCTCAATGTCACATGTCATTTCTTGTCAAATCACTTGGCTTTCTTCCATAATCCGCCGATTCTCGGTATATTGTAGACTGGAAAAATCTAGCTATCTGAATGCATTGCAAATTGAATGACCCAAGGGTCAAGAGCTTAGAATCTCTTCCCTCTCAAAGACGACTAATTCACAAGCAAATGGCACTTCTGTGTAAACGAATTTTACAAATTTATGACTCATTTATTTTATTTCTTATACCGAAGTTTTAGCTAAAAACTTTCATTTTTTTCTGTATTTTTAGCGTATATTTAGGAACAAAGTATACCGTGGTTTTGAATGAATTCTCTGTGATGAAAGAGGTCTTTTCGAATTCAGCCAGCTTGGATAAGGCGTGCGAAATTTTTTCTCACGTTCCAAATTTCGGTGAGCTCATTTTATTCTTATCATTTTCCTTTATTAAAATTTTTTATAATTCGTATTATATAGTTGAAAATGAAGCCGATTTTTAGTAAATTATTTTGGAAAAAACTAAAAAATTTGTTGTCAACTCGGATTTAAAGTAAATATTTAAATTGTTAAAATTCCTTAGCTTTTTAAAAAAAAGTTCGATTAGAAATAATAGAATTCAGTGATAATTTCTAAATGTCATAATGTGTGACTATTTCAAATGGATATTTTTATAGAAAACTAAGACATTATTTGCTTATTTAGCCATTTAGTATGCTTATTTATATTTAGCACTAGCCGCCAACAGTGACCAGCTGGTCTGCCTTTTTGAATTAATAGAACTTCCAGTACTTCGAGATTTAATTTCATACAGTCAAAAACGAAGACAATATGTATCATATTGCAAAAGTGAGAGGGTATTTAATTATTATCTCTTACTTGATCTGATTTAGGCGTTTTGGTCCAATATTTCAGATTTGGCGAAAATTGGTATCGTGGTGAATTTGTTATTAAAATGTTCAGTACAAAATATGCTAACATTTTAAATAAAACAAAATATGCTTATTGGCTAAATGACGCTTTCGACGGATTAAAACAATACTGGTGAAATCAATTTGCTATTATTAATTATGCTAGAAATTAAAACATTTTGTTGCAATTCTATATATATATATATATATATATATAATGCTGGTTGAAAAAACAAAACAAAAAAAGCATATTTTTTTCAATGTTGTATTTAAAAAGCTAAAGTAGATTCGCTAAATGATTCGAGAAATATTAGTAATCTATACATAATAATAAACGCAGCTGTGTGTGTGTGTGTGTGTGTGTCTGTAATCACAATATATCGCCCCAGAAGCCTCGCCCGGGCACGAAACTCGGCCCATAATTGTGTTTTGACATAATGAAGAAGTATTTTTTTTCTTTTTCAAAAATTTTGATTAGTTATTTAGTTATCAGTCATTTTGTAAGTCTATGCTTTTCGTCTGCTTTTTCGTCTTCAAAGAGCCATATTCAAAAAACTATTAAAAAATGCATATACTTTTCCCCACTCTTATAAATGTATGCTAATGCGAACCTTACAATTGAAATATTAATTTTCGACAACTTAAACCAATAATATACGAAGGAATTAATAATTTAATTGTAAAGTTCGCATTAGTTTACATTTATTAAAGTGGAGAAAAGTTTAACTTTTGTATTAAAAATGTGGCAACATATTCGATACGTAAATAGAACGCTTCGCTTTGATATATTTGTCGCTGTTCATAATTGTTATAATAAGTTTTTCTTCTTCTTTCCACGCTCTTTTTTTTTTTTTCTTAAGCGAAGACGATAATTTTTATAGCGATATTGTAGTACTTTGTACAACTAAAAATTCTTTTCACAACACTTTAAAAATATTTACTTTATTTTCTTTATATATACAGAGAACAGTCGGCAAAGAATTCGATTAGGTTGAAAAACATTTCGCTAAAAAGGAACGAATTCCAAAAGAAAAAATAAACAACTTAAAGAATAAAAATGCTGATGCCAGCCAATTTTTTGAAAGTTAACTTAGAAATAACAAACCAAACGATGTTAAATAACAAACCAAACGATGTTAACAAAATGACGTAGAAAGCGCAACTAGATCAAAATTATACAAGCACAACTAGATCAAATTATAATACCTGAGTGCTTGACGTAACAGATATAGAAATAGAATTTGATACCATAAAAAATTATATAGAAATAGAAATTGATACCATAAAAAATTTATTCGTTTTCGTGTTCTTTTCATGTATTTAGCATTTTAGTTTTTTTTTTCTTAAGCGTTGTAGCTATATAATTTCAAACATCCTCAAGAGCTATAACACATCTGCAGCAGAACTGGATATGAAGACAAAATTGCTGGACAGGAACACTTTAATTGTCCACTAATCTTCAGATTTCCGGCCATGTTTTAAAAAACTTTATTTGTGAAAACCTTCAGCGTGGCGGACAGCTGGCCGCCTTAGGCGGCTAGTCTGTAATAAAAACAGCTGTGCTCTTAAGTTAACTCATTCCAAAGATATGAAGGAAAGTTTAATCCGTAAATTTCAACAAAGTAATTTATTCTTATTTATTTTTCTCTCTCAATATTTAGAATAAACTACAAGACTCCGGAAAGGGGTAATTGTTTTCAAACCGCCTCATAAATATTGGACACACGAAAAAAATCCTATCCAAATTCGTGCTCCCATTCTCAAGTTTGTAAGAAACATCCATACATTTCACACTGAACAGATCGCAACACACGGTTCCCAGTAGATCACCGAAATTAAGCATTACTGGCAGTGGTCAATAAGTAGTTGAGTGATCAATTTGATTAGACTGCGAAGGGAACGAGGGTGCGGGGTATCTGTCCACACTAAATTGTTCTACCGCAAGGGGCTTGATTTCGCTCGCAGGTTGTCGGGCTAACAAAGTTAGGGAGCTGTCCCTTCCACAAGGGATCAAAATTTACTTGACGCGTCTTCGGATCATCCTCAGGGGAGTTTTCGATACGGTCGCTAATAGTTCATTGTGCAGCTCTAATGTTAAGTAAATTAAGTATTACTACTACTGCGGAAGATCCATCCATCTCGTCCCATCCATCCGTCCCTTTCCATCTCGTCCAGGTAGAATCAGTCCGGCTTTTATTTTGGGATTCAAGGGAAGAAGACCAGGGTGCTACTCATGAACTGGTGCCTCACCATTGACCTGTTGCCAAAAGTTTGTTTCCCAGATCTTCTAATCTTTGGGGTCTTCTAATCTTTGCAAGAGTTCAAGTCATAATATACGATATGCTTCTTAATCAGCTTTTTCAAAGCGTCCCTTTTATACAGCACACGAACATTCCCAGATCTAATTCTCAAGTCCTTAATCAATCCATGTCGTCCAGGTAGAATCAGTCCGGCTTTTATTTTTGGGATTCATGGGAAGAAGACCAGGGTACTACTCATGATCTGGTGCCCTACCATTGACTTGTTATAATTGGGAGACCCTACCAATAGCTGAGCTTCAGCCGGCATAGCTCAGTGGGTCCTAAGGCCGGGAGAGCCTGGTTGGTAGAACGTTGGACTAGTGCTCCTCAGAACGTATTTTCGAATCCCATTGACCGAGGAATCCCCGTGTATTAAATGGTGATCGGTTCAATGAACAAGATCCTGTCTCAGTGGTGAAACGCATAATACATTTTGTTGTATGCAATTTATGTTTTGCAGTCACCGAGAAAGGTTTTTGTTTACACTCTTGATAAATAGAATATGAATTTGAAAAATACGTGTTTTCCTCACTTTCCCTCTTTCCATTATCATGGCTTCAAAATCACCGTATATATATATATATATGTAGGTTTCAATACCATAGTGTAACAACTGCGAACATTGCGTCATCCACCATCTTGTAATATTAAAGGAAGTTGCATCATCCTCTTGACATTGAGAGGCGCCAGCCAGACCAGAAGGGGAAGTCCCGAAGGGAAACTCCCGAATTTATAATTAACTCTTACTTTATACCATAGAACA